GGGGGGGGGGGGGGGGGGCGAAAAAAGGACGGTCAAGAGGGAGAAGACGGGGACGCCACCGGCGGCGGTAGCGACGCGCTGTCGATCGTGGAGGGGGAGGAGGTCGGCGGCGTGGTGTTCTCCACGGTGGCCTCCAGGAGGCCGGAGCTCAAGCGTGAGCTTGGCATGCTCCGACAGGCGCTGCTGCTCGAAGAACAATCTGGCGGCGGCGGCGTTGGTGACGGTGGGGCGGAGGAGCTGAAGGTGTGTGTGTGTGTGTGTGTGTGTGTGTGTTGTTGTTCCTTTTTGTGCCCTTCGGGAGTAGTTTTTTTTTTCCACCGGTGCCAGCAAAGAAAAGACGAGCAGGGGGCACGTGTTGGCAAGGGCTTGGGTGAGAGGGTGTCCCCGCTTGCTGGGCCGCTCGGAAGTGTTTTATCTTCACCGGCGCCAGCAAAGAGGGCAGGGGGCACGCGTTGGCAAAGGGGCTTGGGTAGGAGAGTGTCACCTCTCCTAGGGGAAAACCGCTGCGGCTCTCTCTACGCCTCTCACCCCTCTGTCGTGACTCTCAACGTGTACGCTTCGCAACAACAACGACAAAGTTCGCGGCATCACGTGCCCAGCCCCCTTTGCGGTCTTCGCCGCTCGTGGCTACCGAGGTGTTGCCACGTGGGTGCCGTGGCGATGACTTTGTGATCAACCGAAGCTCAACGGGAATGTGTGTTGTTACAAACCTTTACCCCTTCGTCACCGCACCACCGCTGATAGTGTAACAAGAGTTACAGCGGCACCACGCGGCCTAGAAAGGATATTTTTCCATGGTCGTTGTTTTTTATTGTTTGCGTAATATTCGTTTTTTTTTTTTTTGTGTGTCCGAGGTCTGGAACATTAGAGAACACGAGTTCGTTTTTTTCCTGTTTGCATGCCAATCGTTGTTTTATTTTTTTTGTTTTTTTGCCAAGGTCTGGAATATGGGAGACTTGGGGCTCCAGGCCCTGCAGTCGGTCGCCGCGGCGGATTCCCCCGTCCTCAGGCTGGAGGAGCTGTCGCAGAATTTCCCGTCCCACGCTTCTGCCCTGAGCGCGCTCAAGGTGCAGCCGGGCACAAGAGAGGAAGCGCAGGTACTTATGTGTGGGTGGTGGGTTCTGACCGTCTGCATGCTTGCGTTGACGGTCATTGACCCTCTTTGAAGACAACCTTCCTGTACCATTTCTCCGCTTCACTCGCCCCCGTACCCGACGTACTGCATGCTGTCGTCGTGCTGTGCCCCCATACCCTGTGCCGACGCACGGCAACCATCCTACCCGATGCCAACGCACGTAGAAGAAATTGGTCCAAAGCAGCAGCAGCAGCAGCAGCAGCAGCAGCAGCAGCAGCAGCAGCAGCGGCAGCAGCGGCAGCACGATCTTATCAGCCATTCCACCACAGCTGAATTGTTGCGCTCGTCAATAGCAACGACAGCACACAATGTTATCCTTTTTCTCGCTCGGCGGCGCTGCTTCGCTATCGCTGGTGCCTTCATTCCCCCCCCCCCCACCGCGTTGATGGGCGTGGTTTCCATGAGCACCAATCATGGTTTTCTCGATTTTGCCCACCCCTTGTCTTTTCTTGCACATGGCGTCGAAGGCGGCGGGGTATCTCTTCCCCCAGGGGCTTGGGCTGAGGCCCGGCAGCCTTTACGTGAACGGCAAGATGGTGGATCTAGAGGGACCGACATTCAACGTCTTTCAGGTACCTCGCAGCTCGACGGATGGGTTAGCAGCTTCAGGGCCTCGGTTCCGTCATTAAGTTTTTTGATCGCCACCTTTCGTTATGAGACAGGCCGGGCGCTCCCTTTTTTTTCGGGTGGTGGATGGTGGTGCACACGTGAAGAAGTGTGTCGAGGATAAAAACTTCTGTACCGTTCTTGTACCCACAACGGCGACAGCGACAGCTTCTCGGCCTGTTCTGAAACCCCCGCTCTTCTGCGTTCTCCCAAGCACCGCTCGCCCCAACGCTTCCTTCTGTGTTTTTTTTCGTCCTCATACGTATTCTCCCCTCTACGTTTCCAACGCTACAATATGCGTCATAAGGATTAGATATTCGTTCAGCGATACCGGTTTTCACACCGCAGCAGCAGTCAGTCGCCGGTCAACACACCCTCCACCTCACCTTCCTATTGCAGCATACTATACTATTGTCCTCCTTCCGTATTAGTATTGTATGGGGTCTCCTGTTTTATCTTCCTCTTTTCTTTTTTATTATTGAACTGGTGTGCACCTTCCAGATTCTGAGCATGCTGAGGGTAGAAGCGGCGACGGTCGGAGAGCTCGGACGAATCGGTGCGCCGGAGGGAGCTCTGTCGGGAGACCGGTGCGCATCGAATTTTCTCAGATTTTTCTCAGTGTTGTGCGCAAGGAGTATTGGTGATGGGCAGATTTCGGCTTTATTCTCGGTGCCTGGCGGCTGGCCGGGTATGTACACGTTGTGTGTCCCAACTCCCCCGCCTTGTTCCGATCCATTTTCCGGTCCAACCGATACCATGTTGCTGCCGTCCTCCCGCTTACTTCCCGTTTGTCCCCCAAGCATCTTACCTGTCTCACCTGTCCCTCCCCAATCTCCTTTCTCATTCAACCCTCGCTCTATCATGTCCCGCCCTTCTCTCTTATTTATCCCCCTGGGGGTTGAACACCCCCCTACCACATTCGGCGGTGGGCTTGGAAACAAAACAAACGGACACGTACAGAGGCCGGTCATTGTTGACGAAGTCGGGCCCTCTGGCCAACCCCGATAGCAACAGCAACAGCGGCGGCGGAGGGCGGGGGGGTATGATGGGGGCACCGCAGTCTCTCGGGCGAGGATGGCGCGTGGATATCATTGGGCCTCAGCCGTCGTCGTCCCCCTCCATGGACCAGAAGAAGGCTCTTCCTTCTGCTTCTTCAGCCTCGGAATCCCCGGCGGGGTCTGCGATCGTTTGGCTCAACGATATTGAGGTATGTAGAGAGTGGGGTGTCGGGCAGCGGGTGGCCTGGGAACGGAGTTCGTGTTGGGTACGCCAACGGGGCGAGTCGTGTTTGGCTGTGGTTGTTGTTTTATGATCAAAGGCCTCCTTTCGTTCCTTCTTTTCTTGGTCACGAAGGACAGTTAGTCTCCGTGGTCCCGGCGGTGTGCACCACGCGCCACAAGATGTAGGTTCGGTGGATTCATTGCTACGCATGGCGGCTTTAGGCGCTCGATGCGGTTGTGTTAATCCTCGGCTTCATCAAACGAGTACCCTCTGTCCTGTCGCTGGGACGAGACAATACGGTTGTCCCGTGCTCTTTCACTTGGGTTTTGTTCTCGCTTCCAAAAAGCTTGAGGCGAAAACCGCACACACCACCTGCCTCTTTTGTGTTCTCTATACCCCCCCTACGTGTGTCTTCTCGTCTTAGCTTTATTGCATCATTTTTTTTTTTTTTGTTACACCTTTTCCTCCCCCTTCCCCTCCCGGACGCACTTGTTTCCGGTCTTCTTCCACAGGTCGATCAGGCCTACAAGACGTGGTCCCCTAGCGTCCAGCAGCTCATGTACGCGGGGTTCCAGCTGCCGAGAGTGCGCAAGAACCTGTGCAACCTCGTCGCCGTCATTGACCCTACCACCACCACCGGCGCGGAAACTTTACAGGTACGGCGACGGCGTCGGCGTCGGCGGTGCGATAGGACCAGTAGCCACCGCGAGGATCTTATGCTTGGTTTTCGTGGGGGGTTGGGGTTCGATAGGGCCAGTAGCCTTCGCGAGGGGATTTAGCTTGGTTTTAGTAAGGAAACCTTCAACCTATTTCATAGATTAATAGGTCCAGCAACCTTGGCGAGGGTATTCACCTTGGTTTTTCTGTGGGGTTCGATAGGACCAGCAGCCTTCGCGAGGGTATTAGGTTGGCTATAGTCGCGGATTAGGGTTAGGGATAGGGGTAGGGGTAGGGGTACGAAGCCTTCATCTCCATTTCATACTTATTTAGTTAATAGGACCAGCAGCCTTTCGCGAGGGTATCCAGCTCGGTTGTGCTATGGGGTTCGATAGGGCCAGTAGCCTTCGCGAAGGTATCAATGCTGACTTTAGTAGGGGGTTAAGGTTTGGGTTAGGGGTACGAAAGCTTCATGTCTATTTCATAGATTACTATTGAAATCCTCGCGATGGTGGGTCCGTACGACGTAGGGGGAGTTGTGCGATTCCGGGGGGAGGTTTTTGGGCGTCGCGTGGGGGAAAACGATATGTTTGCGTGACGGTGGTGGCGAGATACTTGGCGGTAACGGTAACGGTAACGGCAACGGGACGTCTTTTGTTGGGACGTCCGTGTTTGGGTGTGTGCTTGTGTGCGTTTTTGCGTGTGTTTAACGGCCCGGTGTGCTGCGTACGCTGCGATTGTAGTTATGGTGGTGGCAACGGCAACGGGTGTGCTAATGGTGTCAATGCCAACGGTAGGACGCTGTACGGGCCTCGCAGTGTCGGCTGGTCTCGTACTACCCTCGCCGTGGCATAATGTGTTTGCTGGCGATGGTGCTGCTGTTGCTGCTGCTTCTGCTGCTACTGTTTGAGCCTAGCTGCTGAGCATGGTGGTCGAGCAGGGGCTGCCGGTACGCGTGGGCCTCTTGCTGGTCTCGGAGAAGGATCTGAACGACCTAGAAGGGAAAGAAGAAGGGGAGGAGGACGAGGAACGCGGCCAAGACGATGCGGGCGGTAGCGATGATGATGATGATGATGATGATGATGATGATGATGGCGACGATGACAACCTCCCACCGCAGGTGCGTGCGTGTCGCTGTGTGGCGGGACGGGAAAGTGTCGTGGGTATCGCTTGCTGTACGCTGAACGTGTGGGTGTCGGTGCGGCAGAATCAGCCCTCCGCGGAGGGGGCGGGGGCGGCGATCTGTGCAATGTTTCAGGGGATAAAACGATTGCCTCGCAGGGAATTCAACAAGGCGACGAGAGCGGCGGCACGGCGGGGCGTTGTGTGAGGGAGAGAAGTGTCCATCTCCGTCTGCAGTCGTCCCGGGTTGGCTCTCGTTCGGTTGGTTGCGGAGGCGTTTTTTTTTGTTTTTGCGTGGCACGCGTGAAGTGCAAGGCACGCAGGGCAATGCGGTGCAAGCGAAAGAGGTGTTCGCCATACACGCGTTGGTTTCGTAAACTTGATGTCTTAAAATTCGATCCGATCATGACCTTCCGGGCTGCGGATGCTGTACTTCATGCTGTGCCCCCCCCCCTCACTAGCCTTGGCCGGGCCGGCGAAAACTCGGCATACAGTATGCTCCGTTCGGACATTGTAGGGATGCGAGGTCAACACTCTAAAGACTACCGCATGCGTCTACATGAGTACACCCCCCCCGCGCACGAGGTGCCCCACCCCTCCGAGGTCATGACGGAGGGTCAAACTCGAACTCCTCCGGCAATCACCACCTTACCCTTGCGCTACCGCCCGCCCGCTCCTTTGCTGTATCCTGGCGGGCCAACTGGAAAAAAACGTTTCCACCGTACAACAGTCTCAGGAGATAGCGGAGCTGTTTTCTCGACTGTCCCAGCATGCGGGTTCGCAAGCGGTGACGACGTTCGCGGGTCAGGTCGGAGCGGCGGCGAAAGCGGAGGCGAGAGGGGGTAGCTTTAGCCGGCGGGATCTGGCGGAGATGTTCCGGTCGGTGAGTCCAGCTGGAGGGATAGGGGGGGGGAAGACGGTAGAGAAAAGGGTGTGTGTGTGTGTGTGTGCTCAAAGTCGTGCATGCCGTAGTCGTCGGACCATTGACCTCGCATCCCTACAATGCTGGGACGGAGCGATATGCCGGGCTTTCGCCGGCTCAGGCTGCGTTTCGCAGGGATGGACCAGAAGGGGATGAGGGGCTGAGGCGGGGGAGACCACAGGGAGCAGAGAGTTTGCGACAGGCGGATAATTTTCCGGACGGTGAGGCCCGGGGGAGTGCTTGCTTGTCGAGAGACTTGTCCAGCAGAAGGGACAGCGGGGCGAAAGGCGAAAGGCGAAAGGCGGCAGAGAAAAGGGAGGCGGGGGGGGAGGCAGGGACGGTAGAGTTAGCGACAGGCAAGCCCTTTGCTGCGGTACGGGACAGCGGCGCCCGCGGGTAGCGTGCCGGAGATATATTCGGCGCTTCCGCGGGGTAACTGCCGTGGTTCTTCGGGTTCTTGGTGTATTTTTTGCTATTTATTTCCACGGATCGCGTGGTGGGGGGGGGGGGGG